TTTGCTTGACAATTTTGCAGAGTTCGTCCTCTGTGATGGTACTGAAGTTCTGGAGGATTGGTGTTTCTCTGTACGGAAAGAATGAACTGGAATATAAAGGAGAGACTATTCACAGCTTGCAGAGCAAGTGTCGCTGTCTGGTCATCAGGGCAGTAGGAGAATTTTTCCCACAGGGTTTTGCCCCTACCTGTGAATAAGGAACATGTTTACAAAAGTACAAAACCACTATACGATCAATGAAATTGATGATCATTAATGTTTGATTTATGATCAAACGGGGGGATTGTTAGATTTCAGTGGTTTTCACATTTGGTTTGGGTCTGAAAGCAGGAAGCTGCTAAGACACTAAAGGCCTTCCCAAGCACACACACTCACATACTGAAAGATACTTGAAAGATAATTGCTATGCTTCGATCTGGGTCACGGCATCAGTTGAAAGATTATTGGTGTAATCAATCCGGTTCAGGCCCAGTTGAAAGATTTGGCCCTTCTTTCGTGAGCACGACACCAATTGGAGGATTTCTTCTCCCCGTAGTCATAGCACCAAAATTGAAGAACCACCATCACCTCGTAGGTAGTCTCAGGCAAGGAATGAAACAGCCGGTAGATGGTCAATTTGTTTAATAACAAAACACCAAAACAAAAAAAAAAACAGGTCCAACAAGCAAAATAAAACGACTGGAGAAGTATTCAAGAAAATCTCGTACAACAGTTATTAATACACATTAATACACACAAGTCAAGAATAACCTCCAAGAATAACTTCCAAGAACAACTTCCGTGATGTGCACTTTTATACCTGTGTGGGGGGAGTGGTTTTCGACTTCCCAGGTGTGTGTTTAAATGTGGTAGACCAATGGAGGAAAGAGGTTGTGCCTCTTGTGGCCAAGCATATTACCATGCTTGTGCCTGCAGTCACCAATATGTGGCGCTGCTGCTCCATGATTCAGCAGTGTTGGAGGACATGTTTTATGAACCTTTTGTCACTGAGCAAGGTGTTATTACAAAGGAAGTGAACGGAGCCTTTGGTCTGACCAACAACAGGGGGTTATGTGGATCAAAAGCAGTGGACGGAAGTCTTCCATTTGTTCCTAGGGTGTAGAGGTAATCTGGGGAGTTGGTGTGAAGAGAATATAGGAGAAATTCTCTTTGAATGTGTGGGGCTATGTGAGTGTGTGTGCTTGGGAAGGCCTTTGGTGTCTTAGCAGCTTCCTGCTTTCAGAATCAAACCAAATGTGAAAACCACTGAAATCTAACATTAGGCTGATTGTTGTTGCTGCTTGTACACTGGATAGCAGCACTACAGAAGTAGTGCAGAGAAAATTCATAGTTTTTTTTCTCCACTGACTATGTAGGTGTATTTATTAATGTCTTACTTTGACAATGACACTCTGATATTAAAGATGTAATGTGGAACTTGTCAGTCTTTTGAAATAATCTGTATGCACGTGTGTGTCATCAAAGTGTGGCCTGTCCTTAAAACCTTTTGTAAAAACACTAAATGTGTATATCAAAAAATAATTTTATATATTATATATATAATTTTATGTAACATTTTATTACAGAAATTTAACTGGAACCTTTTTCCCTTATTTATATGTTAACATGTGCATTGAACTCTGAATACCAGAACATGTACCATAGGATACATACCCATGTCATCAAAGCAGGTCCTGCAAAGAACAATCAAATTGTTTACTATAAGGACATCAAAGATCTCCAGAAACTACTACATAAAATATATCCACCTTTATTTTCCCTTTTGTGAAGCAAACAGCATTACAAAAAGTCAGGAGTTTGTACTTTATCTTAAAATCAGTCAGAGTATTGAGTCATACTTGTGTAAAAGATGGCCACACTGAAGAACACAGGCTATGTGTTATAATATCCTGCATTTACAAAAAGAGAAATGACATGAAAACATCAAAAAGTGTTCCCTGATGAAGTTCTTTTACCGCCATACACACTGGGCAGTTCTGCCTCGACAGATTTTCAACACACTGAAACATAAAACAGTATGGGAAGTGTTAGACACTAAGGCAGACACGTTTGTGCATCACTAATGGGTACACACAGTAAAAATGTTTTATTCCAGTTTAAACATCACTTTGCGGTTTCCCTCTAGATCTTGTGCTAAACAGAGACTGCACAGTGGAAATACTTCTCCCTTGGCCCAATCCTGTGGAAGACAAAAATCGGTACTACATGTCACTGATGAAGGCACAGGACAACACACCAATCCTGTTTTATGGATGTTTTCAAAAGGTTGGAGGAAAAAGCAAATCTGCACAAGTCAAATAATGGTAAATGCTACAGGTATTTGTTCAACTTATTTCATTTTTTGATTGTTTTATTTCTCTTTAATACCTCATCTACAGGTTATGAAGAGATTCTTCTACTTTGCTTTTAAAATGCACAGTGGACAAATACGGTTCAAAGTTGGCCCGTAGCATTGCACTTCCTTCACCAAACGATCCATCTTATGGTTTTCATCTGCATCATGGCATTGCCGACACATATACAGCTTACCACAGCACGCCTGCAGCGGATGGAAATGTCAATGTAAAGATGAATTCGTGTATGAGTGAATTATCCTTTAACGTTGTTTAAAAGCTTTGGTTAAAAATATGTTCCATTTATTTAGACCAAGTGCTGAAATCTCAAATTTAAGCCCAGATATACGTGATATACGCTAGATCATCCATCCATCCATCCATCCATCCATCCATCAACCGCTTATCCGGGGCAACAGTCTGAGCAGGGACACCCAGACTTCCCTCTCCCTCGACACTTCCTCCAGCTCTTCTGGGGGGACCCCAAGGCGTTCCCAGGCCAGCCGAGTGACGTAGTCGCTCCAACGTGTCCTAGGTCTTCCCCTAGGTCTCCTCCCAGAGGGACGGCACCCGAGCACCTCCCGAGGGAGGCGTCCGGGGGGCATGC